CAGTACCAAAGGCCTAGTATGCACCAGTCAACACCCACCCCCTTCAGCACTGAGGATCGAATGCAGGGCCTCACACGTGCTAGACAAGCACTGTACCACTGAACTATATTCCTACCCCTTTCAGTTTTTTATTTTGAGTCAGAGTCTAAGTTGCCCAGGTTGACCTCTAACTACTCATATAGTCCAGACAGGCCTGGAATTTATGATCTTCCTGTCTCAGCCTCCCAAGCAGCTGGAGTTGCAGGACTGTATCACAACATTCAGAAAATTCTATTCTTTTAAACTACAGATGATCCTTGACTTATGTGTTTACATCCTGATAAACACACTGTAAATTGAAATTGCATTTAATAACCTGACCTGCTGAATATGACACCTTAGTCTATCTTAATCATGCCCAAACATTAGCATACAGTTGGGCCAAACTAAAAGAAAATTTTCAGTAAAATGTGGAATATCTCAAGTATACTATTGAGTGCAGAATCCTGTGCAACCTCTGATTTAATCTCACGACTACATGTGAACAGATGGCTGACTGACAGCTAAAGTTCACAACCCTTGACTAGCACTCCAAGAAATGATTGGATCTCATGTTATCAGCCTAGGGGGGAAAATCGTAATTCAAAATTCTAGGTACAGTTTCTACTGAAAGTACATTGTTTTCACATCATCATCAAGATTCACATATTAGGACTGGAGAGATGGCTCAGCAGTTAAAAGCACTTGTTGCTCATGCAGAGGACCCCAGTTTGCATCCCAGCACCCACATGGTGTCTCAAGTCAGCTGTAACCCCAGTTCTAGTGGATCTGGTGCTTTCTTCTGGTCTCTGTGGGTTACCAGGCATGCGCGTGGCACACATATGTACAGGCAGGCAAAATACTTATAAAAAAATTTAAGTGTTTAAAAATGATTGAAATATCGTACATCAAACTGTCATATGTCAGAGACTATGTGCAGTTTGAATTTGGTTTCAAATCCTGTAACCGTGAAAGCCTTACCCACCAATTTTACAAGGGGAGCATGATGAGAACCAAATGTTAAAGGAAAGAAGGAACGTATGGCAGTATTGGGGACGTAGGATTGTGTTTTTAACAGTCCTGAGAAGACGTGAACAAAGATGTATTTACCTCAGACTGGGCACCAACAACTGAAGAAGCCGTTCCACCAAAGATCAGCTTGATGACCCAGTGAGTTCAGCTGATTACTTGCAAGGGCATGGGCAACTTAGAGGACGTTACACTACTACACTCTGTTTACCACCAGCCCATCCCCTCGGCAGGCATAACTCCTTAAACATCATCTCGGAGGGGCAGAGAAAGGCCCCTCATTCCTGAGGGGATGGCTCATGTCCCTGGAGTCTCATGTGCAGCCTCATGAACTGCTCCTAGCCCTGCTTGTGAGCGGCCTTTCGAGAACCTTGTGAGTCATTCTTCCCCTCCAAGAAAAAAATGTTAGTGGGCTTAAACTTGTGAGGGTTTAAACCTGTGAAGATAATCACAGCTGCTGACCCCCAAACATCAGTGGCCACATCATACCTGGAGGATGGAATTCCACAAAAGGTAGTCACTTCGTGATATTGTGTGGGCACCTGTGCCGGTGACAGAGAAGGGGCTAACAGAGGAGGATAATGCTTACCTCAAGGGAAGGATGCCCATTGGTAGGACTGGGGACGAATCTAAGTGTAAAGTCAGCCCTGATGGGCTGTGATCTAAGAGCACCCATTGACCTGCCGTCAAGGTCTCTCTTGGAGCTGGCTAAGAATGAAGTTTTAGCTTTACCCAGACCTAGAAGATCTGGATTTAAGCTGTCCCCAAAGGTTGGAGGACAAGGGGGACTCTCCCTGTCTGTAGTAACCATGGTTGTCTGCAAAGGTGGCCGCTGTGGATTCTTTCCTCCTTCTAAGTACTTTCTGCCTACTCAAGCAAAGAACTTCCCCTCCCTTTTTATCTCAGTTTGTTCCATGGCTTGGCCTGATCAACGTATGTGATAAAAACAGACTGGTATCTTCTACTTGCTCTCTCAGAAGCTACTTGTCACATAAAAAGTGAGGTCCCTGAGATAACCGTGATGCAACAAAACTCAAGTTACCTGCATGGGGAATGTTCCCTGGAGGGACTGAAAGCCCCACATGTGAGCGAGGCCTACACGGGCCACCTAGTTGAGCTTTTGCTCAGAGCTGAATGCAGCTGAGTGAGTGATCCTCACCGATGTCACATCAAAGATATCAAGTGACCCTCACTGATGTCAACGCCAAGTTTCTGAGCGATAGAATTGAGAGAAATAAGGTAACCTTTGCTGCACCAAGCTACTCTGCTGGGGTTATCCAGCAAGGGTGCCGAAGCCCCCGACCATCTATCTCTCTTCACTACACTGCCTGCAGCATATCCATTGGCTTAGATAAGAGGCTGGCTGAGCACCTGTCCTGTCAGGCACTGTCCCAGGCATGAGGTGGCGGGTGAGAAGACAGCACCCACGCTCTGGGGGAACTGAAACTCTAGGAGATGCCAATAAACGAGGCAAAACAGAGATGATGATTTCAGAAAGATGAGGGATGATTTGTAGTGGGGACGGGGACAATCTAACTAGAGCCTTCCTTCTGAGGAGAGACTGGATCCGAAATCCTCAGCAGTACCAGCAGGGGAAACAACGCATGAGACTCTCCAGGGAAGACAGCCTGGGGAGCGGAGAGAGCTGGAGAGGAGGGGCTGAGGCCAGAGATGACATCACAGGGTGGGCGGGAGTTAGAGCGACCCTGTCCAGCTCATTAGTTAGTTGCAGCCAAGAACGGCAATGTGATCTAACTTAAAAATTTAAATGCGGTTCTTCAGTCCCACTAGCCACATTGAAAAGGCTCCGTGGCCTCACAGGGCCTAGCAGCTGCCCTCCTGGTTGGCCCAAGAACAGCCCCATCTGATGAGAGTTCTGATGACCGGTGCTGGCTATAGGACACGTCAGACATAAACTCAGATTTGGGCTCAAGAGGTCAGATCACATGCTATGGGGCTCGGTCCTTCATGAATTTCCTGGAGGTTCCATTTTCCTTGAGTTCAATGAGGCTCTTCTCGCTCAACAGTGGGCAACAGTTAAGTCTACCAACAGTCAAATGCACCAACAGTGGCCCTGCGTGCCACACACTGAACGGGCTGGAGCCTTCCTCTGGATTAGTGGCACCAGAGGTCTGTGCACGGACTCCTCTGCACCCTCGTTTCAGCTACCAATTTGGGGCTCCCTGATGTGAAAAAAAAAAAAAAAAGCCACAGGGCATGGCTACTATTTCAGGGCGACACACAGAAGGGAGATTGCCACAATTAGACAAGGCTCATTTCCATTAGCAGAGTTTCTTCCTCAGCACTGAACATCTGTTGGTGTGGAAATACTGGCTCTGCCTTGTCCCGTCAGAGGGAAATGTCCAGGCACTGAAGACTCCATCTGGGACAGAGGCTGCAGGGGCTCAAACTGTGGAAACTGGTCTTTGAAACAAAGGGAAGATTAAGAAAGATCGGCCTGGCATTGCGTCACTGTGATCCCAGTCTTGGGGAGTAGAGGCAGGGGAAATCACTACATTTTCTGGACTACATAAGATCCTGACTTAAAAAAAAAAAAAAAAAAGATTAGGAAACGTTATTTGTGCAGGCCTGGAGGTAGTTGCAAGTGGAGATGTAGTGTCTCCTCGCCATTTACAAGACCCGAATGCTTGTGACAAGTACCTTAACTTTGGGCCAGCTATATAAGCACCACACATCTGTGAAATGGGGACACTGGTACTCTTGACTGCAAAGCCAGCCTTAGTCACAATCTTCTGTGTCTTGTGAGACAAGGTCTCACGTAGCCCAGGCTGACCTGGAACTCTATGTTAGCTGAGGCTGACTCTGAACTCCTGATCCTCTCGCCTCTATCACTTGAGTGCTGGGCTCACAGGCATGCTCCATTATGCCTGACAGCATAATTTAATTGGTAGTAATTTTGTAAGAAAAATGGAAGAGCTTGGGTGTTGCTCAGAGCTAGTTCTGCTCAACATGTGTTAACCCCGCATTGGTCCTGTGACTTTGGATAACCTGGGTAGCTAGTTCATGCTGCTGTTACCATTTGGGGCCCAGCAGGTAGGTACAACCGATCTCTAATTTTCCTTCCAGCTCTGCCCAAGTAACACGGACCCCACCGCTGTCATGGAAGGCCTAGCTTGCCTGGGCTCCTACAAGCAAGCTATGGGACTCAGAATTCTGCCATGTGGGAGCTAGAAATGGTCTTTAAGATCTTTCAGTCTAACACTCTACTGATGTTGAGACTCCCCATCCCCAGCCCTGCTGACAGAAGGCCAGCCTTGCCTATGTGTTCTCACTTCTATTTCTAGAGCAATCTTGTTGGGGACAGCCAGTACAGAGCTCGTATACATTTCAGGTTACTCTCTCCCCTGAAGTGCATACCCAGTACAGAACACAGTCCTCAGCAGCTCCTTGGCTCATCTGTGAGGAGTGTTGAGAATAACCTACTTCTCCGATCGCTGCTAGGAATGAAGAGCTGTAATGGAAGCTAATGGTCTGGCAGGCTCTGGGCACCATGCTTGCCCCCTCCTTCCTCTCCATCCATCACAAGCCCCTCCCGCTTGGTAGCCCAAAGCTACATGTGGGACAAGGGTGCTCAGCAAAGAGCTGCTTATGACCTTGGTGAGGGCTGGGGAATACACTCCAGAGGACTTGCCATCTGCAGACCTGCCACCGGGATCCCTCAAGAGCACGGTGACCTTTACCTAGGAAACAGGTGCTGGTTTGAGCCCTGCCTCCTCCAGGTGGTTAGCCTGCAGGAAAAGGCTCAGAAGGAGGCAGGCAGGGCAGAGCTTTGTCAACGTTTCCGAGACGAGTCTGGGCTCATTTGTGCATATTCCTGGCTACCAGTTTGGCTCGTCCTGTCCCAGTGGGACAAGGGGACTCCAAAGCATTACGCTTGCAGCTGTCGGCTGTATCCTGGCCCTGGGGGCTAGGGACAAGGTATCAGTACTCACCAGGTGCACCTGGTCCAGCAGTAGCAGGCAGCAGGTGGTCTGTCACTGTGGATCTGGAACTGCAGGTGACTTCAACGTGGACAGTAATCAAGTACCTTGGGCTCTTGGGATAAATCAGTCCCAAGACCCTGAGTGGGTCACATTGTGATGTCACGTTGCTGAGGCAGCCCTGCTGTGGCTTCTGGATGTCAGGCGACAGGGTGTGAGAGGAGGGCCTGAGAGGTAAGGGGATCTCTCTACTCTGTGGAGAACACCGGCCTGTGGGACCAGGTATGACACCTCCAACCCCTGCCCATCTTCTCCTGGGCCAACTCAACAGAACTACCCCCATCTTTGTTAAGGTGGTCCCCACGAACTGACTGACGTGTACACCCGACTTTGTCACACGTTCTGTGATTTATTTAAAAATTCCAGGGCAGCTTTTTCCTTTTTACTGATTCCCCTCCCCCAGCTCCTGCTGCCCCCACCCCCACCCCCACCCCACCCCCCGCCCCCACACTGCAGTATCTCAGACTTCCCCTTTCCTGTCCACCTGGTGTGGCCTCAAAACAAGCAAAACAATTTAAATATTAGCTTAGGAAATGGACACAGATCCGCCCTGCGTCCATGGAACCCAGCACAGATGTCCTTTAGGTTATCTTCTGCTGTGGTGTCTGGCTTTGTTCCATGGGTGGCAATCAATAATTAGGAATACTTTTAATAGTAGGACTGAAAAGCAAAGAGTTCTTCAAAGGGAACGAAACGAAACGTTTCCTGAGATCTCAACCCTCTTTTTTCCGCTGGTGCTTAGGGATTCTCTCCTGGGGAGCAATTCAAAACGGACTCACCAACTGACATGGGGCAAGCGCTCGTTGCTGAGCTCATAACCTGAGTTCGATTCCCTGAGTCCACATGATGAAAGGAGAGAACGAGTTTTTGCAAGTTGCCCTCTGACCTCCACATGTGCTCCATCCTCACACATAGATATTTAAAAATGCTTCATTTTGGAAAGGGCTGAGTTATTCCCAGTTTTAGAATTGAACGGTGGGTCTCCAGTGCAGTTTCCACACGAGGTGTCTTGATTCAGTCGGTCTGGGGTGGAACCCACAAAGGTACATATCTAGCGAGTGGGCAGACAAAGCAGGCACTGTGGGTCTAGGAACTACAATGCGCTTTGAGGGCAAGCGAGGAGTGCTGGTCTCCTGGGCTTGATCTTAAAATACTCCGGCGATTGATGGTAGTGTTTTGAGGTTTCTCCAGAACAAACAGGAGCTGTGCCTTTGAGGCCAAAGCTAACAGGGCCTATATTTTGTTCAAGATCTGTTCACTGGCCAGCCTGAGCCCTGACGGGGGCCTCCCTACTGGTGTTACGGGCCCTGCCCACAGTCTCTTGGCTGTTCCACCTCAGCAAGAAGGCAGCCTGACTTCGAGCTGCCATGCTGGATCTCTGTTCCAGAGCCTCCTACGGTAGCCCATCCCACCCACAGCAGCCAGTTGACCAATGTCAGTCATTCCAGTGGAACACCCTCAACCAGTGGGGAACACTTAATGGAACCAGCAGAGGACCACATGGGACTGAACCCTTGGTACCCACAGCAGGAGTGACTTCATAACTCATATCTTGCTTCCTTCCTCTATCTCTGCTCGGCCAGCTCTGCCCGAGGACTGTTCCCTAAGTCCTCATCTCAGGGGAAATCAACTAATTCACCTAAGACATGAATAAGAAAGGCTGTATGTTCTTGAGAGAGTCATAATTATTTTACTGTTTTTTTTTTTTTAAGAGGGTCTCATGTAATCTACTTTGGCCTTGAACTTACTTTGTAGCAGAGGATGACCTTGAACTCCTGATCCTCCTGTCTCTTCCTCCTGGGAGTGTTGGGATTATAGGTATGTACCACCACACCTGGCGCAGCCCCTACCTTTGTCAGGCTTTTGTAAGTGCTGAGGAATGGAACCCAGGGTCTTACACATGCTAGGCAAATTCTACACTGACCTACATTGCAAGCCCCAAGAAGGGCACCATTAGAAAGAGAAACAGGAGTTGTCCTAGAATAACATGGAAGGTCTGGGAATAGCAGGCAAGAGTGAGGTCCCTGGGCAGATGGAGGCATTCTCCTGGTTGCCTTTTGGAGTTCAGTTAAGGTTACCTTGAGGAAACACACAGTGGGTTTGCTCAGGGGGAGGCCTGGAAACCTGGCCCAAAGGCCTTTTCTCCCACGTGGGGAGGCTTCTCGGGATGCCCACAGGAGTTGATGGATTCCACACATTTCCACTGTGTTCGCCTTCCCCTCTTGAAACAAGGATGTGGGGGTGGGGCTTGGCAGATGTGGCAAAGCTCTTACTCAAATGTTTGAGGAGTGTTGGAAGCTTGGAGAGTGGTGGAGAAGGGCTGTGCTGGTGGACAGAGTCAATATGTTCTCCTGGGTACCCTGCACAATGCTGAGTTTGTCCAGCCTTCCATGTGCATCATAATAGGATCAACCCAATTCCCCCACTGCCTTTGCAGTGGACCTCAGTTCCCACCCAAGCTCTCCCACGGTGTTCTCTCTCATTAGAGCCCCCCAAACCCATACACAACCCAATAGAAATGTGTATGGCAAGAAAATATGCCTTGAACTCCATTTCCTCCAACCAGATACTTCATATGTGGGAATTTTAGAAGTGCTACTTCTGGTCACCTTTGGTGGGTCATTTTTAAGATACAAAGCTCTCCAGAGTTCCTCTTTTCCCCATTTTCTCTTGGCTCAAGACAGCATGACACCTATGGAAGCACTATGCTGGGAGCATTGTCAACCCTTCCCCCATAGCCAGGAATCAAAAGGAAATCAGCAGAAGTGTATGTGGTCACAGGTCTGTAACCTATGCATTCAGGAAACTGAGGCAAGAGGCTAGTAGGTTCAAGGCCAGTCTGAGAAACACAGAAGACTCTGTTGGGGTGGAGGGTGGGGGAGAGCGAGCGAGCGAGAGAGAGAGAGAGAGAGAGAGAGAGAGAGAGAGAGAGAGAGAGAGAGAGAGAAGATGAAGCATGATTTTTTTCTTTTGTGGTGTGGCAAACAGCTCCAAGACCATATATGTGTTAGGTAAATAGTCTATCCCCCAGCTACATTCCAGCTCATGAAAATGCTTACAGCAGATCATTTCATGTCTATGATTAATTTGGAGAAAATAATCCAAAGTATGAAAAACATACATATATTAGATATTTGAACACATAAATCTAAAACATAGAGGGAAGTTTATGACTAAAATGTTAACATTAGTGCTGTTTAGAATTGTGAGAAACTGGAAATAATTTAAATTCTAATAGAAGGGTAATTAAGTAAATTGCAAAGAATTCTCTTGTTAGACTATTAGGAGTCATTAATATAGTGATTATGAAGACTGTGGGTAACAGAAGAACACAAAGTATGAATTTCAACAGCAGAGTATAAAAACAATTACAATTATGAAAATACTAGCCTATAAAAACTGGTCACCATCATCAGAGAAATGCATATTAAAGCCAACACATTCTTCCAGAATGGCTAAAATCAAAAGAGCAGCCATACTAAGTGTCGGCAAGGATGCTGGTCAACCATAACTTTCATTTAATGAAAAAGTTATAACCACTTTGGAAAATTGGTGGCTTCCTTTAAAGTTAAATATACACACCTGTTCTATGGCCCAGCATTATTCCTCCATGTTTCCCAAAGATAAAGGCAACACATCTATAAGAAAGACTTGTACAGAATGTTCATAGCATCTTTATGCACTATAGCCCCAACCCAGAAACAATCTAGATGTCCTTTAATAGGGACAAGATAAACCAATTCCAGTGGACTTTTCTATTGGAATACAAGTCAGCAATAAAACTGAAGAAATTATTGACACTTACAGGATCACATGATAGACATAAAAAAAAAATCCTGCCAGCTGGGCGGTGGTGGCGCACGCCTTTAATCCCAGCACTCAGGAGGCAGAGGCAGGCGGATCTTTGTGAGTTCGAGGCCAGCCTGGGCT